TGACGCAATTCTGTGTTGGTACTGGCCATCAGGTTGAGAACCACGTGACCGAATAGACTGGGTAATCCGAATGCAGCTAAATCGGTCTGCCCGGCAAAACGTGAGCGAACCAGAGCGTTCAAGAGTTGCACACTCTGTTTCGATCGATCCATGGCTCGACCAGACGATCGATTCAGACGAATAGGAGGCCATGGATTGGAATGCCCCGAAGGACATTGATCAGCATGGGTACCAACTAGGATCACCGGACTGGATTCCGCATGTGCCTAAAAGAGAAAATGAAGGATGGAGGCAAAACCGGAGTAGATCGATCGATTTGTCAAGCAACCAAATCAAAGGAGAGCATTCAGGCTAGCAAGTGAGTCTTGGAGACCTCAAACATGTCCCTGAATTTCTTTAATTATCCCTAAGGCTTTCCCATTTCACAATTAGCTTGAACCTTTGGTGTGCAGCATCTGACACACATGTGGACCATAAATTGCTGGCACTTAACTTGGCCTTCGGTTGGCGCTGAATTACATTACTGGGCACCTGTAGGGATGCTTCATTGTCTTCCTTAGTTTACTATGCATTTTCTCCACGGCAACAGAGAACAATTTCATGATTGAAATACAAACCCAGACACTTATAAACAAATCTTTACGATAGAATACAATTGGAATTAATGTGTTTGGAACATAAGTAACTGAGCATAGTAGTGACGTTCGCATATAATCCAGCGAAATGATTAATCGTCATAAACAAAACCAGTGACAATTGATTAGAGTCCAATGTCCAGAGGACATCTCGATCTACTCCAGAGGATAAAATCTACGTTGAACAATTCGGTATCCCGGTAGATTAGGCTATCGAACAGGTGGTCCCCATCACAAAAATCACAAGTATGAACCACCGTCAAGATGTTAGCAACGTGAATATCGTGAATATTGTTAACCAGTTTAGTTCCCAGTTTTGAGCTATCAAGACCCAGACCGTCTTTCAATACAGTCGTCGATTTATGACCGAAAGTGACCTACAGGCAGGACATCGATCTCAATTGCGTGTTAGCGTGACTAGCAGAAACAGATGATAGATACCAAGGAGAGACTAAATGAAGTGAACAAACGTTCTTCAGAAAGAGAGGAAGCTTGAATACAAAGACAATAGGCATTACCACAATTCATTATCCCAGATGAGATAAACCTGCCTTGTGTGTTTCAGAGAGTAGTTCATCTCATTTCATTTGAGTGGTACATGTTAGATATAGCACAGAACCAATTCGATCAAGGTATTTGTACAGGCAACAGAAGACAACTTGGGGGACAACTGTTGTCCGGAGAAGGGGGGGGGGCGTAGCACTATTCTCACACTCACACGAATGTCCATTAACCAGCGAGTAACTCGGTTCAGACCGTCCACGCCGTCAGACATACGCCACAGGACAAGAAATACCGAGGCACGGGAATACGTGATTTGTTGCAAACAACTCAGTGCACTGGTCGACAGCCGAAAACACGCTGGATTGTACACCTGCCGTTGCCGGTCCCACATACTCGTGTGCACACCTTCGACATCCCAGACACGAAACCAGACCCGATCTTCTGTCACTGGTGCAGAAGAAAGATCCGAACAAGTGGCCTCTGTTTTGCCGTCCTAGGGTAGAGAAAAAGTGAATCCATGTGTGGAGGTGAGGTTGGGGAGAATACGAGCACCAATGGTAAATCGCGAAAATATTGGTAAGCTTCTATAGAAATGAATCAAATTATATTTGATGATAGAAAAATACCGAAAAGGTAAGGCGGAGCAGTTGAATTATCGGTACAGGAATGCTTTGCAAACAATGACCAACCAACAAAAGTTGATCGGAAAATCTCGCGGTTGGAGTCGCACCTCTGACTCAGACGGAAAGTCGACCCCTTGGGAAGGCATCCTCCGTTCTTTGGCCTTTGAATTTCGGCCGTGCTTTTCGAAATTGGACAACTATTTGCATTTTTTGCTGTGGATACTATTGACCATACACGTTTACATCAATTCAACAATTTTTCAAGGTCAAATGCAATCCTACAATCCTACTTTATGAAATCTATCAGTGTTTTCGCGAATGACGTTGGAATTTCAGCGTTTTCTCATTCCGTCAGGAACCGTTACAAACGGTTGAGAAATAAAGGTCAAGGTCACCATAAAAAGCATCGTGCTGGCTGGCAGGTTGCGCTCCGGCGAAGTTCTATCAACAGGATGACCATTCCGTCCATTTGTTCGAGTAACATTAGCTCACTTGTGGGAAAAACCGATGACGTCCAGAATCTGGTGCAACAGAAACAGTGCGAAAATGTGGGAGTCATTTTACTCCGGGAAAGGTGGTTACATCCAGATACTGAGGATGATGTGGTCGAATTGGACGGTTTTTATATTTTCAGAAGTGATCGGATTGTGAAATTTCGCGGAGTTGTCACTTTCGTAAATCGAAGATGGTGTAAGAACACTCGTTTGTTTTTTTCTACCCAACAAGTAAAATTAATTGTCCTTTCGTTTGCTACAAGCCCGCTTTCTCAGCAGATTTCGCTTCATTTACTTTGTGAATGGTTATATTGCGCCTGATGCACTCGCCCCCGACTTAAGACGATGTTCTGATACTGTATTATCACAATTCGCCAGTTGTATTGACCAGTCCTTGTGTATTGCCGCTGGTGACTTTAATTGTTTTGATACCTCCTTTCTAACCACTCTAGGCTTAGAGAACCTCGTCAATTTTCCAACCCGTACCAATACCTATCTTGATGAAATTTATGTAAACAGTCCCAATATGCTTCACGTTTTTAAACGAGCCCCAACTAGCACTTCCGATCATTGTGACATTCTTCTTTACCCCAAAATATATTGTAAAACTAACCACTGCCTTCATACACGACCCACCTCTCGTACGCTACGTAAAAGAAATTGTTCTCTTGAGAACATGTCCCGACTGCTGAACTTAGTTTCTTCAACGGACTTTTCTGTGTTCTTCCATAATCAGCTGTCTTCTTCTTGCGAAAATCTTACCGATTATCTTAATTTCTGCTATAACAAATGCTGCCCTGTTGAAACTATTTATATTCGTATAGATAGGTTTTCCTCACCCCTTCTTAAGTGACTTCGTCGTGCTAAAGAGACGGCGTATATGGCCGGCAGGCGTAACAGCGTCAAAGAGCTCTCTGTTCTGATTAGAGCAGAAGTAAAACGCCTGAACGGAATGTACGTCGAAACTGTTTTGGGCAACAAAAACTTTCGTGAGATGTGGACTACCTTGAGGAAACTCTGTGGCTCACGCATCAGTTCTTGTTCTAACATTGAGGTACTTAACCGTCCACTTTTCTTCTGTACCTGCATCTATCTCCCTCCCACCTCGTTTTCCCACCCAGGATGTCATAAACCCTGGTTCTCCGGACGAGGTTCTCCAAGTTTTGAGGAGACTCAAGGCCAATAAAGCTCATGGTTCCGATGGATTAGCACCTCATTTGTTGAAAGCCTGCGCCGACCAGCTTGCGACACCCATCGCCGAATTGTTCAGTTCTTGTTTGTAATTTGGAACGATCCCCGATTGTTGGAGGTCAGCCCGGATCAGACCAATCCCAAAGAAAGAATCGTCAAAGTACCGTCCTATTGCCTGCATATATGTGTTGATGAAGGCTTTTGAAAATATTTCGCTGCACCGCATGATACCCCAGTGTAAATCCCATGATCCTTTACAATTAGCTTATAATCCCCATTTATCCACACTTGACGTCGTTGCTCATATTGTTCATTCTGTTGCTTACGTCTTAGACAATGGCGCTGGTACCACTCGTTTAACTTTTCTTGACTATACAAACGCTTTTGGTTCTTTCGACCGAAGACTACTGATTGAACGCCTTTCTGAGTGTGGTCTAAAACCCGGTCCGAATTCAAAAGAAACCAATGTTGTGACTATCTCTTCATAATATGAACATAGAATTTGTCGTCACCTATTTGCAAACATCATAGTTTGCATAGATTACTGATTGCTAAAACTAGGTGAATCAAATCAAAATGAACCAAGATTTAAAAAATCTATGCGGTGCAGAGACCAGGCCCTTAAGAAACCAATAGAAAAATAGACTGTCGGTGTTCGAACGCTGCTGTCTACGCCATTTTGTGCTAGTTTGGTGGAACAACAGGACGAGCAATGTTGAATTCAGCAGCTGAGTTTTATTTAACCGTGGTCGTCCGCTGGAGCCAGTGGTCAACCTGTATAGGTTGCGTTGGTTAGGGTACGTGTTACGCAAGTCACCAAGTAGATTACCACGATGCGCGTTGTTTCCCGAGGCAGGTGGTGGGCGGGAAACAGTTGAGGGTGGTCCAACTATAAAAATCCTGATGAGGAGACTTGGTTACAAATGTCGTATTTGGTCACCTAGATGGGGATATCGGGATCAGCATAATCAAGGGCGAGAGACACTGAGTGATAAGACTGATTGTCGCAATCAGTGGCACTCGTGAATCTACTCAATGTCCTTGCAACCTTAGTCTTCATGATTTAGTGTTTTTTTCACTTTGACACTAACTTCAACATTCCAATTTCTTCATTACTTTTTATTGGAGCAGGCAGTTTAGAGATAGCAAAGAAAACTAACACATGAAAATGCATGGTTGATAGTCGGAAAAACCGAAATTGCAGGGTAGTTCAAAAGCACCAAAAAATTAGTAAAAGAGAAAAAAGCTATTGTGTTGTGTCATCATCCGATCGGGAAACAAATTACCTTGGTGGACGGGGAACGAATGATTAGTTGGCTAACGTGAACTGCCGGCACAGCTCCAGTTTGAAAGTGATTTTCGTCTGGAATACGCGAATCACTGGAACCGGTGGCTGAATTTATAATTTGGGTCGCATTTGATCCGTCGTCTAGGGAAGATGATTTCAATTTGAACTCCAACGGAGGGTCGTACTGTGTTGTGCGAGTGCAGAAGGGAAAATACAAAGGAGAAAATGTTCGTCATCCGATTTGATCTACTTGTGGTTACCCAGTCAACAGGATTCTCGTGTTACGGAAAAATATGCAGTATACGATCCGATTGTGTGGTGTCCGTTCGTTTCATCGGGAAATATCTACCGATGAGGAACAAAATCCTTCAATCTGATCGTGAAGAACGTATGTGACGATAAATCACAAGTAAATTGAGTTTTTCTCAAGGGATACGAAAAGCGGCTTAATCAAATAAATGGCAGCAAGCAGAATGAACAGGAAGGGATATTTCGCTTTTCTGAGCTCAAACAAGATATTAAATTGACACGAAAGGCAGAAGCCATTACCAAAAGAGATTGTAAGATGAAAATGAACCAGAATCTCACGTTCTATTAGGGTGACAAGTTTCAATTTTATTTTAGTACAGTAAGACCCCACATAAACGTACACACATCGAAAGTAATTGCGGAATGAGTGGTCACTGGTTGGATTCCGGGAGGCCAAAACAGTATATACACTGATCAACTGTAACCGAAAATCCGATTTGCCAAGTAAAAGTTCCATCGTTTATCGCGTGTTTTCTTAGATTTATAGCTAGGAGAAGGCTAACACACGGTGCTGAGCTCGTGATTTGAAGCTAACCGATAAACATGGCGACCGAGATGTTGCGGTTCGATCTCCCTCGTATCTGTGATGATATTGCACATCTCTGAATCCTAAATGTGTGCTAGACAAATCCAGGTACCACTGCCCATATTCCGCATTTCTGTACTTTCTCAGGTAGCCTTTGTATAGCGGCATCCCTCCTCCTGCAAGTTCACTACACAATAAAAAGAAAGAAGTAAATAGACTGTTTTCAAATGATTTCATGATTTGCTAGTAGGTCAAATACTTCCAGGCTAACGAGGATAAAGAAGATGAGGTTACCCGAGAAATTCACAACCAGACCCCTTGGTAGACGACAGCCAAACCCGCAAGGTCAAAGCTTGGTGGTATGTGAAAAGCGCAAAACACTGAGGGTCGGTATCCACTTCATCGGATCGTACGCCCTTTCGAAGGGATCAAACGCCAAAGATGCCCATTCACCTCTAAAACCAGTCGATCAGATGACTGTTATCATAAAACAGTTACGTTTGTGTGTGGTTTCTAGGCCTCTTCTTGGTTGGTTTAGAATAGTGGATTCAGGCAAACTCTAGTGGTTCGCCGACCTGGTTGTAGCCCCGGATATTCACTTCTTGTCATCTCCTTGTGGTGGGAAAACACAGAGTAGATAGTGAGTAGGGTTACCTCAGCAGCAGCAGCAGCAGCAGTTTCGAATGCTTGGTCGCATAGGAGCACTTGACAAGATGCAGCCACAACTCAAAACACTCATCACACGAAATTACCGGTACACAACTCACTTTTGATTTCGTGTGCTGAGTTGCACGGAACACGTTCTCCGGTTGGTCCACGGCATGCAGCAGACGGATCAATGTGGATTTTCCCGAACTTGGCGATCCAAGTACGACCAGGTTGAGATGGGGATAAGGATGATATCTGAAAACAATTGAACAGTGTATATGAATATATCGATAACTGAGAGTATTAACATACACTGGAAATAAGCAGATCACTCCGCATCCCATCCCAACCACGGAAAAAAACTTTTCAGATGAACAAGAAATCGTGGAGCGGAAACTGGCATTCAACATTGGAACAAGAAATGATGCGAACAGATTGGAGAACTGTTTGACCGCAAACTACGAGTCATTATGAAACCAGGGACTAAATATTGCAGATTGCATGTGTGTGTGCCAAACAAATCATGGTACAATAATCCGATTTACCGCCTATCTATATCGTTCTTTCGATAAAAAGAATCCTTAACTCGGCACTGATCTTGTAGACTTATAGCCCTATGTGTAAACAGTTATCGTTTATAGGAGCGACCGGAAGGAGTGCAACTGTATGTTTTCACACATCGCACAAAATTCACTTTCGCTTTACACTCAAGAATGAAATGAACGCGCCCTCATATCCCAAACATTCAAATTCTTAATGTACACAGGCTGACATGTATTCCGTTGAGTTTGCTGGTCCAAACGGGGATACCTGTTATTCGCCAGTTTCTTAGCGCGATGCGATTTGTCAAATACAATTCAGAGCCCATTTTTCTAAGCTGATTACCAAACCTTGCTCATTTAAGCACTTACTCCCAGGGGATTATGACATGGAAATCTTCCGAACGTGACTGCTTATTTACTTCAGGGCAACACAGAATGATCTCATCGGTCGTCATACGAACTCAGGGTAAACTGAGCTGTACGGTTAAGAAGAAGCACAGTATAACTGCTGTTCAAACTTAACTTGATATCAACTTGATTCACCATTTTCAGACTACATCCCGGCCAGAATCTGCGTTGGAGGTATTGGGAAACTAATCGACCAGATAAGAGATAAAATCGACTGATACGATGGGGTATCGGTTTAAAAACCCGTGGGTGCTTACGCTTCAGCCACATGACGGAATTCGTCCAACATTCGCCGTGTCTCGTTGTTCACGGCCGGTTGCGTCGTGGTCCCCCCGGCCGGCGACGCCCTCGCTGTTGGAGGCTGTTGTACAATTTTCGAAGCCGGTTTCGCATACGATATGGATCGCACACTCTCATCAAACGGTGTGCAATCCAGATAGAGGGCGTGCAAACTTGGTAGACGCCACAAGTCAGCAGGGAGCTGAAGTTCGGTTGAACGAGGTGAGGGGAAAAACCGGAAGCAAACGAGACTCGTCATAAAAACGAGAAGATTAATAATTTTGATGTCATGTGGATCATGTAATAGCAGAGATTCGACGAAATTTTGATGCAAAAAAGCAGAAAATAATCATCCGGATAAACAAAATCAACGCGCTCAAATCCGCTGATGATCCGGTCCGTAGATGAATAAAGGTAGTCATAGCACGTTAATTCAGTCATGGGGACGGAAAACCGACAAAGGGACACAAATTGGTGTCTAACTTCTAAACATTCACTAGGGAACTTGATCGGATCTGTGACTCAGAAGCTGCGTCAATCTGACCTTGAAATCTTCCATGGCCAAATGCTCATGCACCTAGTGTGAATCAAGGCGTGGTGCATTATCCTGCAACAGTTTTCATTTTATGTAATTAACTTTATCGATGAGGTAATCAAATTAAATTTTCTAACTTTATTATTTCATTAGAATGTTGAGAATATTCGCGTGTGCGTAAATCACAATCATGCCGTTACAGTTTATGTGAGAGGAAAAGACCTAGGGGTTGGAAGGAGAATAATAAAATGTGAGGAATCGTTCACTTCGTGTATGCGTGTCTGTGTGTTTGTTGCACACCACATTCTCAGATCTGTGCTACGGGGTTTGCAGTTATGTCACGACGGTCGTATGACCCAGTTCTGAGGGATCGGTGTTGCTGTGTGAAAATATTTGTGGGTGGGTTCGCGAACCCAGGGGAGATGAAGAGCTTGGATAAGACGCTTTTGGGCACATAGATCGGGGACAAATGTTTAATATAGATGGCCTCGGCTATGGCCAACGTACGCATTCTAACGTATTTGGACCGGTTCGTGGGGACCTGATAAGTAATGCGGAGTGCTTCATTTGGGTTAACACGATGGCCAGTGTCTAACAAGTAAGCGAGAATCGCACTTGTGATAGATCCGGAACCACCTCGACTCAGCCAGCGCGGATAGTGTTCTTTCATGGATGAACCTTATTTACGCGGCAACTACGTGATCATCAACACAGACGAATAAACTTATAACTCGTAAATAGAAAAAAAATGGTTAGGGATCACTAAAATAGATAATTTGTCAAGCTAATCGAATAAATTTGATGAGATAGATTTATACGTATCATGCGCCGACTGGACAAAGCAGTGGTGATGAGTCCCTGCACAATAAAAAATGGCCTTTTGGGGACAGGATAACACNAACGACAGACGAGAGGGAGCTTCGGCACAATTGAAAATGGACGGTCACTGGCTGTTAATGTATCAAATCTCCACACAGGTGGATAAACTCACCTCGTACAAAGCACTACATCCGTCCAAGAACAGTTGTTGCAAATTCCGTAAATCGCACACTTCAAACGCGAGACGAGTCAGATCCGGATTGTTGCCCAAGTCGAGTGTGCGCAATACCGGGAATCGTGTGGGTTGTGAACGGACAGAGAACTGATTGGAATCGTTGAATCGTTTGGGAGGCTGAACCGGAAAGTTAAAAAAGGAACGAACAGGCTGAATCAGACGACACGAGGCAGGTGCGAAAGGGTGAGCAAAGCAATTGTGCTTGTGTGCAG